AGTGTGTGAGGATAACCCAAGCTTCTAACAATGAAAACTCCTCGTCTTAGCACCCCAACCCAGAAATCGCAGCCTTCAAGAAATGGTTTTTCACTTCCTAAACTCTCAACTATAAGTTGTTTCCAAGGTGGTGTGAAGGAAGTGAAGAATGGAGAGTGTGCTTTCTTGAAGAAGATGAAACTCAATGGAAAGAGAAGCAAAAGGGTCCCCTTCAATTGTGGAGGGGCTCATTCGCGGGAAAAGAAAGAAAAATGGGGAGAGAGGGACTGTCTTAGTTACTTTTAAGTGAGCTCAAATATCCAAGTGGGTAAAGACTTATCTATCCCACTCAATTAACTTTCTTTCAAACTTGACATATTGGTTTATAATATTTTTGTAATAATATTCACCATTTTTTTTAAGTTCTGAATAATTTTGCCTACTCATATTTTTATCCTAAACTTTCATTATTCACACTTCTTTCCAAAAATGATTTTGATTCATTTAATTAGACCTCTCATCTACTTAATCCTTAGCAATCATGATTAAATCTTCAATCAATTGATAAATTCATAATTTACATATTAGAGTTATTACAGCTACATTGTACATCAAAGGTTATAAAAAATCAAAAGTCATACGCACAAGACATATGAATAACCAAAGGTCATTCACATATATAAAAATGATATTTTAGAACAAAAACTATTTATTGGATAAAATGTGAATCACTAAATTTTCCAAAAAATAATATTATTCCATTAAATAAAAAAATTAGCCTAATTTATCAGATAAATATTCTCAACATATACTGAAGTTTCTTTTCAATTACTAAATTTATTTTAATTTTACTACAAAAAAAAAAATCATCTTTAGGTTTATATAAAATATTAACACAGATCATGTCAATATTATGACGAAATTTAGCAAATTGCACGTGTTTGTCATTACTTAACTCTATTTTATTTTTATTTATTTATTTATTTATTTTTAAATAGTCTATCATAATTTTTGACATAGCATTTTTCAACCATTTCACTATTCTAGGATATGGAAGTTCACACCTGCTATAATGGTGGGCAACGGGCAACGGGCAACGATTGGCCCTCCCTAATTTTATATATATATATATATATATATATATATATATATATATATATATAATTATATTTTTTTTAATAATAATAACCTATTAATTTTAATAGTTAACTTTTTTCTCAAAATATTTATAACAGTTATCCCCTTTTATTAATCTTAATAATACTTATAATTTTAATGTTTTATTTCGCCTCCTATCATAAAAATTCCTAAGCGTGCCATTGTATAATGGGTGCAAAAACTAATTTTATTTTATTGAAGAAATAAAGAGAAAACAATAAGGTTTACTTTTAAGAGCAGGCTTGGTTTTTGGGCAAGTTTGCTACGCATGTACAAACACTAAATGAATATGTAAAGAAAAGTGCATGTATTTATTTTAGTCGTCCAGCATAATCACCCACTAAAAATAATATTCCTCGTGCGTCATCTTCACTTTTCAATCAAACTTTAGGAACAATTGGACGTCAAGACTCAAGACAATGATCCTAGTGTTTGAGATCCTATTCTCAATTATATTCTATTATAGCTAAAGTAAATAGAAACAACAAATTCCCTCAATCTCAAACAAAGAAAAATCAAGTCAACGCAAGTTGGGAGAAACCGAATGATTATGTTAAAACCAATTTTTTCTCAGAGAAGCTTAAATTACCCCATTTGGACTGTCATAGATCATTGGCCACCTTCACCAGCCTAGCGAATGGGTTTGTTGTTCATGGCCCTACAAATATTTCTATAAAGACTAGATAACCCAGTATTTCATGCTCAAATTGGCCCAACGGTTTGTTTTAATTACTCTTGTTTCTTGTCTTGTTAGCGGCTTAAAATAAATTTTCATTACGAAATAATGGTAGCTTAGTTGGCACGAAGAACTGCGTAGGTGAAGTGAGAGCATATGTCTGATTATCTTCAGTACTATCTTTGGAAGGAAAGGGAAGGGATTTAAAGTCTTAATTCCGAGACCAGTTCCGAATCGGACTAGTAGCTAAGCAATGAACGATTGCAATATCTCAGAAAAAAAATCTGTATGAGCTAAATGTTTTAAAATAAATTATTTTTTCTCTTTTTAAAGACATTTGTGATGACTCTATTAATATATTTTATTAATAAAGTTATCAAATTAGCTCTTAGATATTTTTGATGGGAGCATATTACTTTTTGACAAAAATTAATTTATCTTGTGGTCCTTGAATGCTTTTCAAATCACATTAAATTAGTTTTTTTGATGACAATGCAAATTAGTTTGTTAAAACATGTTTATCATGTCCGATTAAGCATCATAGGTCTAAACGGCAAAAGGCTAAAGGACATGTATTAATTTTAGGAATAATTTTTTCCTTTCAATTTTTTTCAAAAACTAATTTAGTAATTTACTCCTATTTATTCTTTTGTTACATATAAAGCATTTATTTATATTTTTTATTCTATTACCTAAAATAATTATATTCATCACTAAAAAATTCAAAATGCATCCTTACAAAGTTTCTTTGTTTAGGCACTTTTAAACATAAAACTCATTCTTCCGCACTTTATTCTATTGATTATATATATTCTACAGCCTTATATTGTCAATAAGAAACAGAAAGTTGTTGTTTACCAAAAAAAAACAGAAAGTTGTAATCTAATTATTGGGTAGGCAACGGAAGGGTAATTCAAGCGTTAAGTAAGCTTAAATTCAATTATTGAAATTTGAAGGGCATGTACAATTGAAAAAACCAATATTCTTATGGGAAATTTTCATTTGGTATATAGGGTAAAGTGAAAAACGAGATCCACACATAAATTTAAATAGGATCCTATTGATGGGCCTTGTCAAAATTCGTGAGGAATTTAGGATTTGTGTTTATCTTTCTTTTGCCATAACTTTGTTATGTGAAAAAATTCATATGAAAGATTTTTTTTTTCTCAAGAATTGGTCACACCTAAAAGGGGTGAGAAACATAATAAAAATAGAAGAGAAAAAATATTGGGTAGGCACAACCATGATCATAAGCACTTGGATATTCCAATATGAGACTCACATTACAGTGAATTGGTTATGTAAACACGTGTCCATGTTAATATCTTTCCTATTTGTTTGGTTTTACTATGTAGTGTAGAGAAATCTAAAAGAAAAGAAAATAAAAGATATAGATGAAAATAAGAAAAACAAGCGACTAAATCACAAAAATAAGATGCTTAATATGAGTTCACTTTTTTTCGGTCAATGTAAATAAGTTATCTACATTGAGCCTAAAACGATGTCGTTTTGGAGCGGAAATTAAGGTATTTTTGTAATTATAATTTATTTCTGGGTTATAATAGTTTTTCTCATTATAGTTTTTTAATTTTCAACTCAAAACGACGTCGTTTTGTGAATGAACGTAGATAACTTATCTACACTGTAGAAACATTAAAGCTTTATATATATATATATATATATATATATATATATATGGCTTTAATAACTCTGCTATTGCTGCAGATCAGAAAATTTGTAACAACACTTATTTCCACTAGGATTTCGATCCGTATCCTAGTCTAAATATGTTTGCTGTAACTTTTTCTATCTGCAGCAACAGAAACAAGGAATATATATATATATATATATATATATATATATATATATATATATAGGGTCAGGATCATTTTACACCAGTGTAAGTTACACTCCTAATCTTGTCTGTTAATCCCACTTTTATCTAAAGACTCAAATTTTTTAATAATGTGAGCCATTGGATACAAGTGGATCAATGATCAAGATTGAGTGTAAGACTTCTAACTCTTACACCGGTGTAAGAATATCTTGCCTCATATATATATATATATATATATATATATATATATATATATATATATAGGGTCAGTATCATTTTATATCAGTGTAACTCTCAATCTTATCTGTTGATTTCATTTATATCTAATGGGGCAAAAATTTTCGTAATGTGAGTCATTAGAATGCAAGTGGATCAATGGTAAAGATTAAGTGTAAGACTTCTAACTCTTACACCGGTGTAAGAATATCATATCTCATATATATATATATATAGACACACACGAATTAAGAATTTAAAATTAACAATGATCCAATTCAACACTCAAGCATATTACCTCTTTCTGGAAGGAAGAAGGAATAAATTAAAGGGCACAATTCGGTAGCTTGGGTGATCCCATTCATAGCTGATAAGGTTGATATTGGAGATGCTCACCGAAAAAAAGAGAGGTTGATATTGGAGATATTATTAGTGACTGATGTTTTTACACAAATCCACATTTTAAAACCATGACATCTCTGTCATGATTTCTTTTAATAAATACTTGGCCTTTATTCTATTAATAAACTACGTGACAAATACTTCATCTTTTTTAAAATAATAATTAAAAAACTGTTAAATATATTTGATTTTGAAAATATATAATTATATTTGATTAAATTTGTCTTTGATTTATTAAATTTGACTCCCTTGAAAAAAATATATGTATTTAAGTTGAAACGAACTATTAATTACTCAAACAAAAACAAAAATGTTATAACGAACTAGTTTCAAAAGTGATAATTTTGAAAGGGATGGAGTATCATATTAAAATATGATGTTTGTACTCCATTTCCCATATGTTATATGCATCAGAAACTATTGCATTCCAATGATTAAATGCTTACCACCCCAGTAAACAAAGGCTGTACTTTGATGAATCCCTCAGAAGGGTGTCGTGTCCAAAAGCTCCAAAATCTTCTTACTTTCTCTCCATACAAAGCAACTAAAAGAGCCAATACATAAAGAGCACACAGAATATATATCTTTATTAAAGAAAGTTCTCATCTTCTCCTTATCACATAACACATAACCTTTTCTCATAGGCAATCTACTTGATTGAAGCCCATTCATTACATTATACATAACCTTTTCTCATAGGTAATCAATCTAACTTGATTGCTTGATGAGTTAACACAAAATCAACCTTGGTCTGCACTCAAAGAACAAGAGCTTCAAATTACTTAATACCAAAACCCCTTTATTCCCCACAAATCTCCAACTTCTCAACCAAATTTTCTCCTCTCTGAAAATGTCTCTTCAAGCTCAACCACAACAACCTGTTCAGGTTTATCCAACCACTGTCACAAATCAGCCATCTTCACACCATTCAAAAGGGTCTTTTGGGGCAGTTTTCATTGTTCTTGCCATAATACTAGTCATTTCAATAGTTGCTTGCATTCTTGGAAGACTGTGCAATAGGCTCTACAATAATAAACACAATCACAATAGCCAGAGACCAGATAAGCTGCATAGGCAACAAATCCACAACTTTCATCCAAGAGAAGGGGACATTGAATTTGGTGATGACAACAAAAGAATGCCACCAACAACTTCAAGGCCTAATAAAGTACATGGTCATGGAGCAGACACAGGACCCCAGCAACCACCAAGTAATGGTAACATGAAAGATTTTGTTATGAAACCTGGTCATGAAATCCACAACTTCCATTCAAGAGAAGGGGATATTGAATTTGGGGTTGACAGAAGAATGCCACCAACAACTGCTAGGCCTAAAGGGCATGGTCATGGAGCTGGATCAGGATCCACAACACCTGCTAATGTTAACACGAGAGGTTTTGTTTTGAAATCTGTCCATGATGAAGAGCTGAGAGTTGGTGCATGATGGAACCATAAGAGGACATTATGTATACTTAGCCATCTTGTGCTAACAAGTGACAACCATTCCCACTATTTATCTTCCTTGCTTTTCAGTCTAATTAGATTTCCAAATGCTTGTAATGTAAATGTAAAATTATGCTCTGTTTCTTTATGCCTTGAATTTATTTTTAGAAATGTGTTACATTATATCAGGTTTTTTTTTTATTATTTCTACATAATTCACATGTAATTAAATAGTTATACATATTTATTGTTTCTTCTATGATGAAGAAATACCATTTTCTTTGCTTCTAGTTGTCGCTAAAAAATAAATTCAAGCGCTCATATCTCAATTGATAAAATTTAGAGTAAATACCCTCTTCGTCCTTAACAAAAAACACAAAACTCATTTTAATTCCTTAGAAAAAAAAGTATCCATATTAGTTCTTTTTAAAAGATTAATATGAGTTTTCTTTAAATTTCTGAAGGACTACAATTTCAAAAAATTGGAATTTCAGAGGAACTGCAAGTTGACTTTTTTTTCCCTACAAGATTAAAATGGATTCAGTGTTTTTTTGTCGAGAAACCCAAAAAATATTTATTCTAAAATTTAATAGCCTTTATAAAAGATTTTGAGTTTAATTCCTGAAACTTGCGGGATGTTGATAAGAACCTTAAGCACAAAAACAGACCCAGTAACAAAGAACAAAAGGATTTTTGCCTGAAAAATCAGATTTTATATATTTATCAAGAGACAATTATTATCTAATGATAGTGAAACACAGACAATTACAGAAAAAGAAAAATTACAATTGGAAGATCTCACTCTCTTCTAGGGTTTGCACTCCAATATTCCACTCACCCAAATGTGGCATACGAGGATCGAACCAAAACTCTTCCCTTTTCAGTTACTCAACTCCCTTACTACCAAGTAAACTACCACCACTGCCGATCTCCCCCTCTTAACCAATTTCCCCCTAACTAGCTCTCTCACACATTTTTCTGCTGGAGGGCACTTTGGTTATGATAATCACTTGGGCCAACAGCATCTCCACTTGGACCAGTACTTTCAGCAACCTCTCTACCTATTGTTTAGCCCACTTCTGCGTTTTGAGCTCAAATCCATCTGTTTCTGTCCCTACGGTACACTTGCCTTGGGGGTTTCGTGTCAGATGTCCTCTTCATGAAATAGGATACCATTACTTTTGTCTATGTAAAAAAAAGGGAAATCAATATATATATATATATATATATATATATATATATATATATATATATATATATATATATATATATATATATATAACATTTTCTCATAGTGTAGGAAAATAAATTTTTTTACTAGTGACTCTTCAATTTTTATGTAGTATTTTTTTTTTTTTTGAAAACTTCAAAAATCCCTACAAGTTTTCTCAAAATCACTTAACCCCCACCCCAAAATTTTTAATCATTTATTCCCCTACTTAAAATTTCTTTATCACTTACCCCCTAATTTGATTTTTCATCCGAAATTTTGTTAACAGAGTTAACTTATGATTAAAAATTTTGATTTGATAGTTATAGATTTCGTATACTGAACCTGAAACACCAATATAACAAGCATTATGTGTTTGTTTGATTCTTTATTGAACAATAATGTATAATTTATTTATTTTTTATTAAAATATTTAGAATTTATATTATTTTTTTTTCAGCTATTTAAGTATATTTATAATTTTTTAATATAAATTATATATATATAATCACGGGTCTTGCAGTTGAACCAGTGACTCAGTATCTTAATTGAGTCATTGACTGGGCCAGTTTTAATAATATTGCTTTAAAGTCCCTCCAATTCTAAATAGTCTTTTAAAATCTATAAGATTTTTTACCTCAAAAAAGTTTTTTAAAATCCTAATTCAATACACCTCCTAAATCACATGTAATGTTATCTTATGCTTTCTTATATATCTAATTTTTCCCACTATAGTGACGTAATGCGTTAATTTTTATTTTCGTCCATGACTATACCACATTAAAAACTGTTACGATTTAATCTTTCTAAAGTGAATGTAGATAAGTTATCTAAATTCACTCTCAAAATGACGTCGTTTTGAGTTTAAAAATTAAAAAATTATAATGAAAAAGACTATTATAACCCTGAAATAAATTATAATTACAAAAATACCTTGACTTTCGTCTCAAAATGATGTCGTTTTGGACCCACTGTAAATAAATTATCTATATTGACTATAGAAAAAGCGAACCAAACTGTTATACACATCACTGTTTTAAGACTTATTTTGACGAGACACGTTGCTATTAAAAAAATATAATTCACACGAAAAACACCATAAGAATTGTGTTATTGGTAATTTGAAGAACGCTGTGTTTACCAAAAAAAAAAAAAAAAATTTGAAGAACGCTGTATAAATTTAAAAAGTATGAACTAATATAAACACAGTAAAAATATAATGTAAGGACAAAAACTAAATTGATCAAAATAAAATTACCCAGCTAAATCAGTGGTTTGATTTTATTTTATTTTTTCTTTGAATGACGTTAGTTTATAATTTTTTTAAAAATCAATTTAGATGGGTTTAGGTTCATATAACTTTTAAAGTGAACAACTCCAACCGAAAATTCAAATATTTTAAGTGGCTATGCAAACACAGGTACTTAATTGCTTTTAGTTTTAAAATACGAGACAGACTCAAATATTCATATGTTTTTTATCCAAAAAAGGTTATAGATTCACATGGATTAGGATTAATTTCCAATAAGTTAACTTCTTTTGCACCCAAATAAGGTGCCTTAAGCAATTTCTTTACAATGTAAGAAAATATTTGAGTTTGCAGGGAAATATTTATGAATAGGGTAGGTCCCAAACTCTAGTATAAGATATTCTCGCTTTTAAAAGATATGACACTTATACAAAAAATATATATATTGTTGTAAAATATGGATGACTTAAACCATGTTGGCAGTACAATTATGGATGACGTCACCGTTGGCAGTTGGCAGTAATGGTGTAACTATCTCCCATTCATGATTATGTAACTACCGCACTAATGAATCATTATTCCCTTATTCATGATTGCAATATTATATATTGACATTGTTTGTATTAGAGTATATAGCTGCATGAGAATTATATTTCTTCCCTACTTTCTTGTTGTCTTCTCTCTTCCATTTCTCCCTTTATTTTATAACAACGTTATCAGCACGGTAGTCTCTTCCATACCTCCGAAGACAACTACCGATCGTCTCTTCTAGATCTCGCGAGGGCCGAACCACTGAATCGTAGTCATCGTCCTCCTCCTCCAAGACCCAAACCTGCACCTGGTTGCCGAGTCTCGATTATGGGTCGAATCACATGGAGTTCCAAGCTTCGTTCCCGAATCAGGTCCATGATCTCTTATCAATTTTATTTATCTTATCAATTTCATTTCTTTGATTATTTTGAGGTTTAATATGGTTTGCATTATTCATGGGTATGTGTTTGTTTTGCTGCATCTTTGAAAAATTAATTTACCCTATGATGCGGAAGAACTGAAGATGAGTACCTTTGTTCTTTGTTGTGATTATTTGCATCTTTGTTCGAAAAATACTGTTATGATTGTACTTCTATTTGGATGCTATTTTTTTTTTTTTTTATTGTCATGCATATATTTGTACTCTCCTAATTTGTTAAGTACAATTTATTTATTTATTTTTGTTTTGTTTTCTATACCCTGTATCCAAAGCGATATGGAAAGAAAGAATTATGAAACATACGTGAGCATTTTTTTTTATGTCGGGTTTGTCATATATTTGAGCATTTTTTCCTTATGTTGGGTTTGTCATATGTTTCCTTAAGATGACGTTTGGTTGAGGAAATTTTTTTAGAATACTAGAGAAATAGAATTGATAGAGAAATGGTAAGAAAGTGAGATAAAGTGAGATAGATAGGAAAATGCAAAAAAAAAAGTAGTTTGGTTGGATAAAATTTTACCAGGAAAGTATATGAAAATTTTGAAATCCTATGTTTGGTTTTGGAAAAAATATAGATAGGTAAATGATATAAAATTACAATTTTATCCCCATATCCATGTGGAGGGCTAACAATGAGAGCCTTATCCTCCTTTTTGAGAAGGTCTTCCTCACCCAAATCATGGAGAATCGAATTCAACACCTCAGCATTGATGTTCCCAGACGCAGTAGCATCAAATCCAGAATCAACTGAACCCAAACTTGGTGAGAATCCCTTTAGAATAGACCCCAGAAAAGGCAACGTTGCAAGAGCCATAGCCAAAAACACGCTAAAAAACACAGACCGTGAAACAATGCGAATAAACCGTGCATCAGGAATCTTGATAACAAAAACAGTATCAGAATTCAAACTAATCCTTCCACCATGCAAATGCTGCTTGTTCATCTTGCTCCTATACCCACGACCCAATTCCATTTCCTACCTTTGCAGCAAAAATGGAGAAGACCCAGATGCAGAAAACTGAAGATGATTGCGAGAACGAAGAAACAAAAAGCCAGCGAATCGAAAAGGTTGGAACTTTAGTGAGCGCAGAACCTTGCAGCGGTGTGGTTTCCACTCATAAGAGCCACACGGTTACTTTGCTTTCTACAATAAAGGAGCATCAACTGTCTCATCCTCTTTGCCTCCATTGTGCCTCAAAGGGTATATTGGTTACAAAGAAATTAAGCAAACAGTAATTTAGCCGTGCTTTTGCAAAAACCCACATGCGAAAATGGATTTCTAACAGTGCCGAAAGCCGTGTTTCTCATATCCACCTCAGAAATCTATGCATTTTAGTTGTCTGATTTTTTGTCTGAAAGAGCTTCACCAAACTTGGGGTTCGTGGAAACCTTGTGTTAAATGCCTAGGAAAATTTCAAAAAGAAGCCAGCCAAACACCACCTAAGGGTAATATGTAGGTTTTTTTTTTTAATTGATAAACTTAGTATTACTTTTGCATGAAATTAGTTAGATTATTATGTGACATTTGAATGAACAGTCATAACCCCGTAATATAATAGTCTATACCATCTAAGTATCAAAAGATATATTTACAAAAAAAAAAAAAAAAAAGTATCAAAAGATATTTGAAAA